AGGAGGAGGAGGAGGAGGAGGAGGAGGAGGAGGAGTGTCTCTCCCTCGTCCCACCTCTGGCCCCACCGCGCTTCGAGGCGGATGCGGCGTGGGTGGGGCTCAAAAACAACATCGCCCTCTGCGACTTCAAGCGCGAGGACGCCGAGGGGCGGAGAGTGGCGGTCGGGGAGAGGGTGCGGGGCTCTGCGCGAACGCCTGCAGCGCGTTTCTCCTGCCGCTCTCCCGCCGCATTCCCCTCTCCGTTTCCACGTCCTCGCTTTCCCCCTCCCCCATACTGGAGGAAGCGCCGCGCCTCACTAACGTCAGGCGCGAGCGACCGTTGGTCGGAGCGCTCAGCGGAGCGCCGCATGAACGACGGGGCGTCAAGCGCGAGCGACCGTTGGTCGGAGCGTTCAGCGGAGCGCCACACGAACGACGGGGCGGCCGGGCCAGGTTACGCTCGCCCGCCTCCATGCAACGCGAGCAGGCGGGCTGCGCCTCTTTTTGTGTTTTCTTCCGTTCAGCTTTGCTGAGGGTCTCCTATTTCCTATCCGCTTCTGATACAGCCGGTGGGTGCGACGCTTCTTCCTTCAAGGCGGCGCCCAGCGTTGCTCGCGTTCCGTGGTTTTGGTCCTGGGGGCGACGCCGCTCTTCAGAGGCGGTACTCGGTGTTGCTGGGGAAAGCGAGGGACGGCTCTTAGTTCTTGCCTCCCTGCTGATTTCTTCGGTTTCACTGGTCTTGGTTCCATGTTGCCTTTCTCAGTCAACCACTGCCAATCATGCCACGCGGTGCCAAACCATGCAAATCAATTTGACGCAATGCCAGTGAATGCCGAACAGTGCCACGCAACGCCAAGCAAGGCAATTTAATGCAAACGAAAGTTCAGCAATGCCCAGCGATTGCCCAGCGAATGCTGAGCAAGGCCAAACAATGGCAAGCAACGATTCCATGCCATGCGAGACATCGCCAAGTAACGCCAAACAGTGCGAAGCAATGTTAAGCTGTGCCTTGCATGGGATTGTTTTGCAGTGTTGAGAACCGTTTTGAATTTCTTTTGAAAGAAGGCCCATAATTGGAGATGCGCCGGAGTCATGTGCGTATCACAGTTTCGACGATTTCATCTTCTCTTTCGGACTGGTTCTGGGATGCGCCACGCGAAGGTTCCAATCTTAGAAAGCGAGACGGAAGTCTCCAGCGCCTCCCCCAAGCGCCCCTCCCCCCACCCGTTCCGCGGGCGTGGCCCCCTACAACTGGGATTCCCGCTCCCGGGGCTTCCCTCGGATTTGTCAGCAGTCCTAAGGATTGCCCGGCAATTCCCAATGCGAGCAACCAGCAACATGTCTTCAAGAATCCGAGTGATTTCGGACCCCAGCAACATGTTTCTGGACGATGCCCCCCTTGACCCTCAGCGTTTCTCCAGAAATAGTGTAAACGTTCTTTCAGAAGCATCACGGATTTCCGGACGCATCCTATGAATATGGTCTTTTTTCCAATCGTTTTTCCAGGTATTTTCGGCTATGAGCTCAGAGGAGGGGCCGAGGATGTCCTCATGATCCTCCCACGGAGCCCGTATTACTTCAGAGGAGTGCAGACGGAATCCTGCATCATGTCCTGAGGAAATCCCAGGGAGCCCCGAGGCAGAATCTTAAGAATTTCCCCGAGGAGTCATCTAGGATTTTCTCGTGCGCATGTCGGGGCGGAGTGTATCTTCCCCTGCTGGAGGCTCCATTTACCGCGCAGCTTCCTGGCTGCACGCGCGGCAACAGCGGCTTCCGCCTGGTACTCCCTCAAACATTTGGTCCTCAACCGCACTCTCGCGTGGGACGTTCTCCCAGTTGATGCAGAAATCGCACTCTCGCGTGGAACTTCCTTGCAATGTATCCATACGTCGCGCCCTCGACAGTCAGGACTCACGCCGTGCCGTCGACACTCAGGAATCACGGCCTCGCTTTGGCCGACCTCGCCGTTTACTTGGGAATCGTGCTGTCGCTCGAGATGTCTTCGCGATTCATGCTGGACGCACGCGGCAGCAACCCGCCTGCTCGACCCGGCCGCCTGGGCCCGCCTTCCCGACCCGCGCGTTAGGGTCTTCCTGCCCGATTTGCCCGTTTGGTTGTGCCACGTGTTTTCTGCTCTCAGCCCCCCCCTCCTGTTACTCCCTCTCTTGCTCCATCCTCCTCCCTCCCCCTTGCCCCTTCCTTCCATCCGTGTTCTCTTCCCTTGCCTTCGGGACTGTTCGAAATACACTCTGCAGGTAAGAAAGATACACCCTACGGGGGTACGATCGAATACGAAGATGGCAGGTGTCGAGGGCTTAGGATTTCAGCGAACAGTATTAAGATAATTGTTGTTGTCGAGGATGAGGACGGTGATGATGATGAGGACGGTGATGATGCTGATGTTGTTGATGATGGTGATGATGATGATGACGATGACACTGATGAAAATGCTGGTTGTGATTACGATGGTGGTCATGGTGGTGGTGATGATGATGCAGATGACGATGCTGATGATGATGAC